CTTAGGGTTTAGGGTTTAGGGTTTAGGGTTTAGGGTTTAAGATTCAGGGCTTAGGGTTTAGGGTTTAGGGTTTAGGGTTCTGGGTTCCCTTACAAAAATGAGCAACCCCAAGAAAGGTACCCTTGTGGGATGGTCACTCGGCTACCAAGACACTAGGTCGGTAGAGTTGACGTCTGGGGGTTGGGGTCTACTTGGAGTTTCATGGTACTTAGCAACCCAGCCCAGTTCTAGCCCTCTTCAGCCACTTAAGGGGCCCTTTGAGTGGGTTATGAACTACGCTTAATTGGGCCATCAGTACCCTGAACCTCCAAGTACCCTCTAAACCCTCTACACGCAACCTAGAAAACCCACTTGGGTAAGGGCCTACTGAGTGGTGCTGTAAAGCCCTTTGAAAATTATTTATAAATGGTTCCCTCAAAAGTGAAAGACGGAAACCCTAAACCCTAAAACCTAAACCCTGAACCCTAAACCATTTCAGGGTTAGGGCTGAGTGTCCAGGGCTGAGAGCTGAGGGTTTAGGGGGTGGTAGCCTGTAGAGTTGCGAGTCTCAGTCCCAAGACTTGGTAGGCTTTGGGCTTTCGGCTTCAGGCCTGGGGTTTAGGGTTTATAGGGTTTATAGGGTTTATAGGGTTTATAGGGTTTATAGGGTTTATAGGGATTATAGGGATTATAGGGTTTAGGGTTTAGGGTTTAGCGTTCTCAACCCTTATTCAATTGGGCATGCTTTCCCTTTCAAGAGGAGCAGTTGACGCTTACTCTCGGCACTTTGCTTCTGTTCCGCACGCGCCAGGTCATCAACTCCCTTGAAAGGGAGGCCTGTTGGGAGTTGGCAATATGGCTCCTCCTCTCCATGTCCGAGACTTGGGGTCTTCTAGCCCTAAACCCTAAACTTTAGCCCTAAACCCTAAACCCTGGACCATCTAAACCCTGGACCCTAAACCCTAAGCCCTAAACCCTAATTTTTTAGCCCTAAACCCTAAACCCTGGACCATCGACCATGTTGGACTAATTTCATGGCATGGCTGGTCCGGTTTCTGAGTTTCGGGCTAGGTCTAGGGTTTAGTGCTTCTTGTCATGGTCGATAAGGTCTAGAGTAGGATTGAGGGTTGAAGGTTTAGGCGCAAGGCTTGAAGTTTTGCAGATGTTTGAGGTTCAGAGTTTAAGTTTTTATAACTGTAGGTGAAGCCAAAAGAGCACCTGCGTAGGGTTTCGGGTTCAAAGTGTATATGTTTTTGTGGGGAATCGATCAGGGCAGTAAGCCACAGCAGAGGACATTGCGGATCTGCGCCCCGACGTGGCGACCTTCAACTCGGCGAGCCTTCCTCCGCAGGGCTGCAGCTAGAAGGCCGTGGAGTTGTTTTTTTTGTGTGCACGTGGCTTTCTTTGTCTTTTGCCTTTTGTTTTTGTTCTCTCTCTCTCTCTTTCTGTCTGTCTGTCTCTCTCTCTCTCTCTCTTCCTGTCCCTAAACTCTAAACCTTAAACCCTGAACCCTAATTAAACTCTCTCTCCCTCTCTTTCTGCGTGCCTTTTGGGGCCGGTTTAGGGTTTAGGGTTGTTCCAACCCCACAACGAAGCTCCTGTACCATAACGCCAGGTGGTACACCATGTCCCCGTTTTACAGTTGTGTCGGTTGCCTTTGAGAAACCTCACTGGCGGGGGCTCCTTGTTTTGCCCGAGCTCAGGGTCTAGGGTCTAGGATTTAGGGTTTAGAGTTACTTGGAAATCTAGTATAGCCCGAATAAGGCCGCCGCGGATTAGTTTTTGAGACTGAAGAAGGATGAGGGGGTTAGGTGCCTCATATCTGCCTATACAAGGGACGATTTTTGGTACAGTACCTAAATCCCTGATTTCCCTACGAAAAACACGTAAGGCTAAAGCCCTTGACCCTTGAACTCTCTAAGCCCTAGCCCCTTCAACTGAACCCAATTCCTTAGTTCCCCTTCTACGAACCAGAAATACTAAAACTCAAAAGCCCTCAGCCCTAGCTTTCTCCGTGCCTGCGTTGAGAACTTTTAAAGAACTAGAAAGTCTAAAGAGCCTCTAAACCCTAACCCTAAACCCTAAAACCCTAAACGCTAAACCCTAAACCCTAACCCTAAACCCTAAACAGCCAGCTCAGGATAATCGTCAGTGAGAAGGCGTCTCAGTGGCGTCCAGCTTTGTCCCGCGGCAGTGGAACGTGTGGGATTCAGGGCAGACAGGGTTCGAGGACTTTTAAATATAATGTCTACAACATGGAGTATAAAATGCATACATACATACATGCATTATATATATATGTATGTATATGTATGTGTGTATACATATATGTATATAGATATGATGATGATGATGATGATGACGATGATGATGATGATGTTGTTGCTGCTGATGATGATGATGATGATGATGATGATGATCATGTTTGTCTGTCTGTCTGTATGTATGTATGTATGCATGTATGTATGCAATGCAATGTGTAGTACATTAGTGGTTTGGTTTTTTGGGGTCCTGGACCCTGCAAAAAAGTGGTCCGGGTATATGTGGCGGTCTGAGCTATTCGCCAACAATCACGGAGTCAGGGCACGCAACTGGCCATGGAGGAGAATCAGGTGTCTCTCCATGAGCCCCTCAACTCTAAACCCATAAACCCTAAACCCCAAACCCTTTTAATTTGGGAGCTTGGTGGTGTTAAGGCCGAGCCGATGCCCCATGTCGAACGCTGAGATTGGGATTCTCTAGGCGGAAATCCTAGCCCCGACTCATCTATGCCTAGGTTTTTTCTTGGTTTTTATTTTCAGAGCTTCTAGTAACCTTCATAACGTGGATATTTTGCATAGATGGCTCCGACATTCTCATGCCATGGGACGGTTCCGGGTTAAGGGTCCAGGATCCACTAGGGTTTAGGGTTTAGGATTTAGGGTTTAGGGTTTAGGGTTTAGGGTTTAGGGTTTAGGGTTTAGGGTTTAGGGTTTAGGGGTAGACTAGGACTCAGAGCAGGCACTTATTCCCTGTTTTTTAGGGTTTAGGTTCCCTTATCAGCACCTTTAACCAAAAAGGGCACCCTGTCTATTTCTTGGTTACTAATCTTGGGTCTAGCAGAGGTTACATATGTTTGGGGCTTAGACCTTAGGTCCAGAGGTTGGGGTTGACAGACTTTTGGAGAGGCGGCCCTTCTGCATCTTAGCGTTTAGAGGCGTATGTACCTGAAGCCCAGAAAACCTTGCTTTTTCAGGGGTTCCTTATTATGATGTCCGTAAACTTCCCATATAATAAAGTAGGTGGTTTGGGCTGCAGGTAGGGTTTGGCCGATTTCTTCCGCACTTTCCGGGCCAATCCACAGAAAATGCTGGGCCTTTTGCAACTACAGCCTGCGAGTCCGATGTTGGAAGTCGCTGCTGTGGTTTGGGGCAGCGGGTTGAGAAACTCCGCCGGGGGTTGGGGATTTTTGGAGGGTCGTTGAGATTCCAGGGCTGCTACCTGCGGCAGCTAACCCACCAGGGCTGGTTTAGGGTTTTCGTGTAGGGGGTGTAGGGGTTGAGGGTTTAGGGTTTAGGGTATTCAGCTCAGGTACCTGCTGGAGACCATGCTGCGCCAGACACTGACGCCGAACACCACGAGCTATGTTGCTTAGAAGTAAATTATCAACCTTTCACCTTGTTGGGGTACGACAATCCCCTATACTAGGACCGGGAGTAGGCACTTTTTCCCTTTTTTTAGGGTTGGGGGGTTCCCTGATAATCCCCTTAAAGCCAAAAAAGGTTCCCTTTTTCTTCCTAGGTTACTCCCGGGTCTAGTATATAACCCAAAGGTGAACCTTTAGTTCCCTGGATACTGGACAGCTAAGGTTGCGGCAGTGAGGAGCTGTGAGCAGGCGGGCCAGTGGCAGCTGGCAGCGAAGCTCTTCAGAGTTCTTGTACAGAGGCAAGGACCTGATCCCCATGGGTTCAGGCACTAGACCTAAACCCTAAACCCTAAACCCTAAACCCTAAACCTAAACCCTAAACCCTAAACCCTAAACCCCTGTCGGAATCTCGGTTGGCCCCCTAGGGATTCATGTTTTTTGTCCTGCTGTTTGGGGTTTAAGAAGATATCGTACGGAGGAATTCGTTTCAAGCCTAAACACCTAAACCCCAAATCCCTGAAACCCCTAACCCTACACCCTAAACCCTAAGGGGCCAACCTGTAAATTTTCAAGCAAGAGGTTGGGGCTTTTTGTGCGGGCAAAAGAGGGCAACGGTGGCCTGTGCGCAGCTCCTCCACGATCTTAGACACTGAGTTAGGGTTTAGGGCTTAGGGCTCAGGGCTTAGGGCTTAGGGTTTAGGGTTTAGGGTTTAGGGTTTGGGTGTTTAGGGTTTAGGGTTTAGGGTTTTACAAATCCTTCAAATGCATCAAACTCAACCCGAGGGCGTAGCGTTTAGGCGTTAGGCTTTAGGGTTTACGGTTTACCCGGAAGCCTTTAACTGGCTGCCCTGAAACGACGGCACATGGGGGGTTCGACTTGTGTGTGTTTGCCTTCAGTTTTCCTTATTCAGCATGCTTCAGGGTGCCAAAATGGGACCCATCATACAAAGAACCCCAACCTTGCCCAAAGCCCTCAACCTGAACCCCCTAAACCTCACTAAGTCTCCTTGTGGCGCTGGCTTTTTGAGAAAAGGGTCTAGGGTCAAGGGGGTTTAGGGTTTAGAGTTTAGGGTTTAGGGTTTAGAGTTTAGGGTTTAGGATTTAGGGTTCAGGGTTCAGGGTGCGCGCGTTGGGCTGCAGCCCAGGCCCTGGACCACTTCAAGCCCCTAAGCCCTCAAAAACCCTAACGCCATGCACCCTAAAACCCTAAAGCTCTAAACCCGTAAGGCTCTAAAACCGTAAAAGCCTAAAACCCTAAAAGCCTAAAACCCTAAAACCCTAAACCCGTAAGGCTCTAAAAGCCTAAAGCCCTAAAAGCCTAAGACCCTAAAATCCCGAAGAACCCTAAAGCCCTAAAACCCTAAACCTTGCGGGTTGCCCTCTTGAGCTTTAGGGCTTCAGGGCTTTTGGGTTTAGGGTTGAGGGGTTCCACCCCTAAACCTATAGCACCTGATCACGCTGCCCGATGGCACGGCGTATGCATCGAAAAGTAGATAAGCCTTATTGACTAAATACAGCCCTTTCAGGGTGCACATACCTTGATAGTGTATATTTGGGCCTGCTGGACCTCACCCTACTCCCCAAAACCCGAAGCTCCAAACCCACAACCCCAAGCCCTGTACCCTAAGTAGAGTTTCCAGCTGCATCCCAAACACTGAACATAGGTTCTAAGAAACCTCTAAACCCCAAACCCCTACACTCCAAACCCTATAAAACCCCAAACTCTTAAACCCCAAACCGCACACGATATAAACCCCAAACCGCAGCCCTTAAACCACAGGCCCCAAACCCACAACCCTTAAACCCACGCCCTAAACCCCAAACCCTAGCCCTAAACCCCAAACCCTAAACCCCAGACCCCAAACCCGAAACCGCAAACCTCACAAAACCCTAAACCCTTAACCTTAAACCCTAAACTCAGGTCACCTTGGACGTCTCGCGCTTCGTTGGGGCCGACGCGCTCGACGTGGGCTGTGGCCGGGTCGGGGCTGCGAGGGTGGGAAGCCGACGGTCTAGGGTTTAAGGGTTTAGGGTTTAGGGTTTAGGTTTAGGGTTTAGGGTTTAGGGTTTAGGGTCTAGGGTTTAGGGTTTAGGGTCTAGGGTTTAAGGGTTTAGGGTTTAAGGGTTTAGGGTTCGGGTTGATTTCAGAGTCTATTTGGTTTCGCCTGCAGGTCCCTCCTCACGTAAGGGGCTTTGATGTTTAGGGTTTAGGGTTTAGGGTTTAGGATTTAGGGTTTAGGGCATGACTTTACCCGTTGCTCTCTTCCTTCATTGCAAGCTTGCGGGTTTGAGCAGGGAGTTTCGGGAATTAGGTGCCCGATGCAAGCCCTGCATAGGGTTTAGGGTTTAGGGTTTAGGGTTTAGGGTTTAGGGTTTAGGGTTTAGGGTTTCGGGTTTAGGGTTTAGGGTTTAGGGTTTAGGGTTTATTGAAATTAGTAAGGGTTCAGGTCCGGGGAAAGTTTCGAGGAAAGTTTTGGGGAATGTCTCGAGGAAAGTTTCGAGGAGTTCTTCTTTTGGGTTTGTTCTTAATGATTTCAAGTTACTGGGGGCTTGAGGGTTTAGGGTTTAGGGTACCTAACTCTCTAAGGGTCGTTACATGGTCTCTGTCCCTTACCTTCTTGAAAGGGTCCTGAAGTATGGGCACAGGGGGTATATCAGGGGTTCCCCATTTCAAGGCCCATGCAAACGTACCATGTAACTCCTCTAAGAAACTCCCTCATTCCCTATCAAGAGATAGTCAGCTAGGATTTGGGGCTTAGGAACCCAAGCATGAAACACAAGTCGCCGATGGTACTCCTGGGCTAGGAACACCACCCGTTGGCTTCACGCGCCCCAAGGGATCAGAGTTTAGGGTTTTGTTGGCTTCAGGCAAACTGGGCCCCAAACCAAAGCCCTATAACTCCACCCCAATCCCTGATCCTAAGCCAGCCAAGCCCTACCCCCTAAACCCTGCACGCTCCAAGCACTAAACCCCGAAACCCGAAATCCTCTTAGCCCTACACCCCAACCAAACAACTTGCACCTTGGGATGTTCCCCCTTATACCAGCAGCCCCTAATAGGTATGATAATAGGTGGTACTACAATCCCTATCAAGGGTTCAGGGTTCAGGGTTTAGGGTTTAGGGTTTAGGGTTTCGGACTCTTACAAAACAGGGGGGGGGGGGGGGAACATCCCAAGTTTCACCCTTAGCCAGGCTTTGGCCGTTGGACGGCGATGCTGCTCCGAATCGGTGCACGGGCCGCTCGCACATCTGGCAGGGTTTGGGGTTTGGGGTTTGGGGTTTAGGGTTTAGGGTTTAGGGTTTAGGGTTTAGGGTTTAGGGTTTAGGGTTTAGGGTTTAGGGTTTAGGGTTCCCACGCGCTACAGAGACATTCTCTTAGTAGCTGAATGAGTGCACCTTATGCACTTTTTGGGATACGATAATCCCCTATAGAACTGAACGTGTACGCTTTTTTGGGGCTTATGAACTCAGCAACTAAGTGGAAGGTATAGTTCAGGTGTGTTAAGGTTGAGATTTGGGGTTCAGGTTCAGGGCTCTCTTGTTGAGGGGTTCAGGTTGGGATGTTCCCCCAGAGGCCTTAATTGGGACTACAAGACCCCCCCCCCCCTATATTAACATCCGGATTAAGGACTGTTAGTATAAGGGGCAACAGCCCAAATTTCAGGGGTTTGGGGTTCAGGTGTTCACGGTTCAGGGGGGGGGGGAGGGGTTCAGGGTTTAGCTGAGGGCTTTTGGGGGCTTGAGGGTTTGGGAAGCAGGGCTTGCCAAAGAGCGCCGTGGCAAGAAGGTCGTTTCTAAAAGGTTGCAGACCTCACAAGCCTTGAACGGGTTTGGGAGAACTTCTGCAGCGTCCACCTTGCGGAAGGTTTTTTTCGGACGCCGTGAGCTATTCGAAGTGCGAAGGCCACTAGCCGAACGTTTGCGGTTTTTTTGGCTGGGCTGTGACGATCACTGACAGTACAAAGACCTCAGCAGAAATGGCGGAGGACAGCCACAAGGCCGGGGTGTGGTACCGGAGACAGGCAGGACCCTTACCCCTGGACCACTGCCGATGGCAGACCAACAGCCCGGGCTCCCATCCTCCGGCTGCCAGAGTTGCTTGAGTAGGGAGCTTATAGAGAGTTTTCGGGGGTATAGGGTGTGTGGTGTAGTATCTTCGTAGCTTAGGTTTCGGATTCAATGGATGGTGATTTAAGAGATTCCAGTGAGGTCGAGAGGGTCAGGGGTCTAGGGTTCTGGCTTTTCAGAGCTGTAGGGGCTGCTCTAAGCCGTTAAAGTCGATGAACAGCCTTCAACACCCGGTACTAGGCGCTTGGGTTGGGGTCCCGGGGTTGAGAGTTTAGGTGGATTAGGTGGTTCAGAGGTGTAGGGGGTTGGGCTTCGGGTGCTGCATGCTTGAGGTCACCTCTGTGGATGCGTCCCCTCACGCTGTGCGCCCAGGCTGAGCTGGCAGCTTTCGGTTTCTAAGTGTTCCTGGCCTTGAGAGGCCCCCTCACCCCCAAACCCTAAACCCCAAACCTTAAATTCCTTTGACCCTAAACCCTGAACCCCCAAATCCAAACCCTGAACCAGGATGTCAAGCGCTGCGCGTTCACCTCTCCGACCCGGCCCGGCGAGAGGTGAGTGAACATCGCCGTTCTTCCATGAAGAAACGTGTAGGAACATACTAAGGGAACACTTTAGGGGTAATCCTCTCCCAGTCATATAAAACCACCCCCTACCCCTTAAAATCAACATACTCCCACTATATAGTGCTATGCTAGTATGCGCGGGGTATTTAATATCGGGGGCTAGGCGGGGGTTTAACATTAGGAGGAAAGGATTACATGTTCAACTCCCGTGGACACCTAGCCAACACCTTACACCCGTACTCCCGAACCAGTCATCCAGTGTCCTAGAGCCTATTGACGTGGACACGCCGGAAGCACCCACAAGACATATTTTGGCAAGGAGCTGTTTATCCCTAAACCCTAAACCCTAAACCCTAAACCCTAAACCCTAAACCCTAAAACCCTAAAACCCTAAAACCCTAAAACCCTAAAACCCTAAAACCCTAAAACCCTAAAACCCTAAAACCCTAAAACCTAAACCTTTTGTGGGTTCCTGGGCCTCCATGGTCCAGCTTGAAAAGCCCAATTCACACCTGCATCCACGCCGAGGAAGTCCACCAGGAGGTACAACCCGCAGACATACCAGATGCCTCTGGGCCCGATGTAGAGCCCATTTAGGGTTGAGGGTTGAGGGTTGAGGGTTGAGGGTTGAGGGTTGAGGGTTGAGGGTTGAGGGTTGAGGGTTGAGGGTTGAGGGTTTAGTCAGTTTGGCAGATTTTACACACCATGGTTCCCTGGGAGCTGTAGATTTTAAAGTGCATCGTGCTGTGCCTACCAGTTGCCCATAAGACAACATCATGAATAGGTTCCTGAATCCTTGCAGCGCATGCACAGTGGGATTAAAGCACACATCTGACGTGCCGTAGATTCATTAAGGGACCCGGAAAGCTAACACCCCTGAAGCCGAAACCCTAAACCCTAAAGCCCTCTGACCCCAGGGTTCAGGACCAAGTAACTTTAGCAAGCGTGACCCCGAAACCTGTAAAATGCTTGTATCAACATAGTAGAAACTACCCCCGAAATGGCAACTCTAACCCAAACCTAAACCCTACACCCTGCATTCCTCAGCCCTAAACCCTTAACACCCCAAATGAAGACCCTTGAAACCTAAACCTCTTGACCCTAAAGTATGTTCCGACAGGTCGCTTTTTGACTTGCCCAGCCTGCCCGGCTACGAGGCCATGGTTTGTAGAGGTTTAGAGTCTTGGGTGTGGCTAGGATTTGAAGGATACTTGCAGTCCCACACCCGACACGGTGGAACCCTTACATGTGCAGGGCATATAGGCCCCTAAACCCGGTACTAAACCCTACACCCAAAACAGTAGGAGTTGGCACCCGGCTCGACTTCACGATTTTTGGGCCAAGATGTTGCTCCTCCCGTCCGTCCGCTAGTGAATTTGGGGGTGCTTGAGAAGGGTTTTTTGGGGGGGCTTGCGTTCAGGGTTAGGGTTTGGGGTCTGGGGTTTGGGGCTTGGGGCTTGGGGGTTTGGGGTTCCTTGCCCCAAACCACCAAAGCCTAAACCCTAAACCCTAAACCCTAAACCCTAAACCCTAATTCTAAACCCTAAACCCTAAACCCTAAAACCTGAAACCCTAAACCCTAAACCCTAAAACCCTGAGCCCTACCATTCGGCGCCCTTCGCCCATGGCAGGCAGGCTATGATCTGGTCATCTGCTGGGGCGTCCTCCACCACACCCATGACCCACAAAAGGGTGCCCTGGGCTCGGGTGTAGGGGATTAGGGTGCTAGGGGTTCAGGGTGCTAGGGTTTTCAGGGTTTGGACCCTAAACCCTAAACCCTAAACCGTAAACCCTAAAGCTTGGGCAAACTAAGCCTTAGGGTTTTTGGATTTGGGTCGACCTCCAGAAGGCGTATGATGAAAGCTCAACCCAGACTCCTAAACCTCCTTGGGGGTTTGTGATGTTGCTCCCCCCCCCAAAAAAAAATGCCCTAAACCCTAAACCGTCTTTTGGGACCGTAAGCCTCTACTTGTCTCATTAAGTCCCAGAAGGCTTAGTTGTAGACCCCCAGCCCTGCATGCCTAAGACTGCTGCGCCCCTAGAAACTCCATGCTGACTCTGCACAAGCTGAACTTGCTCAAGGCATTCCATAGCGTGGACAGGTCGACCCTGAACTCCTGAAACGACCCAAAGCCCCAGTAGGAAAACCTACCAGATTTAAGGGTTCCTTCAGTATGAAATCCTTCTACGGCCCCTTAAAAGAGGTAGGTTGTTTGGGCGACCCTAAACCCTAAACCCTAAACCCTAAACCCTAATCCCTAAACGGTTGCTTGGGGCCACAGGCAGCGGCCAAAAGCCCGAAACCCGACCCTGGGGCATCCGCTGCCTTGGCATGGCCCGAGGCTTCCGCACCATCGCTGGAGCCCTGCGCAAGGGGGGCGTCCTCTTCTTGCAGGCCAAGTACTGGACGATTTCAGGGTTTAGGGTTTAGGGTTTGGGGTTTAGGGTGTAGGGTGTGGGGTTTAGGGCTTAGCGGGCTTGTAAGGGGTTTGAATAAGGTCTCGGAAATTGCCCTTAACCTCGAAGCCCTAAACCCTACCCCTTTAAACCGTGAGCCCCTTAACCTTGCAGCCTTAAACCCTAAGCCCTTAAGCCCCAATGCCTGGAAGAGCTGTGGAACCCTATGCCCTAGAACCTAGATAGAAAAGACCTCAATACCCTCAGCTCTATACTTGGAGGCTGATGGGCACTTATAAGTAGGGTTAGGGTCTATAAGTAGCGTTCTAAGTAGGACAAACCCTAAACCCTTAACCCTAGACCCTTTAGCCAAAACCCCTGGAAAAGGTATACAACGACCGAGCAAAAGCTGGTTTCCATTACACGCCGCGGCCCTTGCAAGGTTTCGGGTTTAGGGTTTGGCGTTTCGGGTTTAGCGTTTCGGGTTTAGGGTTTAGGGTTATGGAGTTTAGAGAACCCAAAATTCATCTACCTATAGTCTATAACTATTTAACCTCCCAAAAAACCCCCAGCCTCCCCCTATGGGGCCTCCTCATCGTACCCCCTAGAGCCCGACCTGTAGCCCAGAAACCCTACCTAGGGTTTAGGATTTAGGGTTTAGGGTTTGGTGTTTGGGGTTTGGGGTTTGGGGTTTGGTTTAGGGTTTTGGCTTCAGGGACAAGGGTTTAGAGGTTCCTTTCATGATTTCCTTACATCGCCCCCAATAAAAAAGGAGGATGTTCGGGCTCCAGCTTTCACCCCTCAACCCTCGATTCCGTTAACAGAAGGGGGCGCCACCATTACACGAGCTTGCAGGGATTGGAGCTTGCAGTTTGACATTTCCCCACATAAGTTTCCGGTTTTTTGGCTCTGGCAACCGTTTGGGGTTTAGGGTTTGGGGCTTAGGGCTATAAGGACATTGTAATAAGGGGGATATATGGGGCTGTTCCCCCTTACACAAACAGTCCTGAATAGGGATTAGAATAGGGCGTACTATAACCCCAATGAAGGACTGTTAGTATAAGGGGGAACATCCCACGCCTAGAAACCCCAATCCCTAAAGCCGCCAAAACACCTTTAACAAAAAAAACACTAAACCTAAACCCACAGAAAACACCAAGCTTGTCTTTCGGCGTTTAGCAAATGTCAGGTTTTCGAGTTTGGGGGGGGGGGGGAAGGGTCTGGTGGCATGATTTTTGTGCGGCCAGGGTCTTCTCCCTCGTGGCACTTTCCCATGCTAACACGGAGCGGTTCGGGTTTGGGCACCAGGCCCCTGCAAGCCCCACCTAGCCCCAAAATAACCTTTTATGGGGAGATGTTTTAGGAAATCGTAATGAGGAACCCCCTAAAAAGGTAGGTTTTCTGGGCTACATGTCTTAGGGTTTCTAAATTTTCGAGGATTCTGCTCAGACCGCCCGCTCGCATCTCAAGCGCGTCCGCATTTGAAAGCTGCGGGCTGCCTGCAGAAGCGCACTCGCGTGCGGGGTTTAGGGTTTAGGGTTTAGGGATTAGGGTTTAGGGTTTAGGGTTTAGGGCTTATGGTTTAGGGTTTAGGGCCTAGTTTAGGGTCTAGGGTTGCGGGTTTAGGGTTTTAGGGCAGTTTACATGTATCCAAGAAGGGTTTGCAGACGGCTTGGGTTTTGGCTTTGAGTGGGGGGTCGTTTTCGGGGATTTGGGGTTTTGTAGGTTCTTTTTTCTAATCTGCCCACGGATCTGACAAAGGGAGGGGGCTATACCCAGAGAGCCCAATACCCCTTGATTAAGGAATATACCTGAATTATATATATATATATATGGATCCTGAATATGATTTAAGGTACATTCCTTACTTAGGGGGCATTGGGCTCTTTGGGTATGCCTCGACACAATGCCAGACCTTGATCGCAAGACAACGGGCCTCCCTCCTGTGATCGCTGCAGTCTGCCGAAGTCATGACTTGCGGATTGCTCTGCGCCTGCTGCCAACTGTGCCGCTGGATGACGCGTTTAAGGACGTTCCCTAGGGGTGCTTGGAAGCAGTTTTGTAATGTTTGGTCACTATAATAGAACCCCTAAGGAAGAGCTGCGATTACTAATTTTTGCAAGGGTAACGAGTTCAGTCTAGGTTCTCGTTGACTGTACAAGAGCCGGAGAGTGGAAAGCTGCACTCCAGGTACTGAAAGCCGTGTTCGCAGTCAGCGTCCTACCCACTGTCTTGGGCTTCCGCACCGCCATCACAGCTTGTGGGAAAACCCTGCGTTGGCATCATGTCCTTCGTTTGCTTGCACGGATGGCGACTTCGAGAGTATCACCAGACTTGATCAGTTGGAACGCCAGTATCAATGCATGTAAGAAAGGAGGCAAATTGAAGATGGCGCTACACCTTTTATCGCAGATGCCAAGTATCGGGCTCGTGCCAGACATTGTCAGCATGAGTACCGCTATCAGCGCGTGTGAGCAGGGCGGTGACTGGATTATGGCCCTGCACTTACTAGAGCAGATGCCGACACTTGCTGTTGGTTAATAGGGAAAGGGGGAAGGAGATGCCCTATATAATCCTTTAAAAGGGTGGATAAAGGGGCCGAATTCCCTCATTCCCTGCTAACCTAAGGATAGCAAGAGTCGTGCCAGATGTGATCGCCTTCAACGCCAGCATCAGCGCATGTCAGAGAGGTGGTGAATGGCGGATGGCCATGCACTTGTTAGCCCAGATGCCGACAAATAGAATTTCGCCAGACGTCGTCAGCTTCAATGCCGCGATCAGCGCATGCAAGCACGAATGGCAGGTGGCCCTGGGCTTGTTATGTCAGATGCTGACTGAAAGACTTCAGCCAGACGTGATCAGCTTCAATGCTGGCATCAGCGCATGTGAGGAAGGAGGGGAGTGGAAGATGGCCCTTCACCTGTTAGATCAGATGCACGTAGCTATTGCAGAGCCAGACGTCATCAGCTTCAATTCCAGCATCAGTGCCTGCGAGAAAGGATGTGAGTGGCGGACGCCCTTGCATTTGCTTTCGCAGATGCGAAGAGACAGAGTAGTGCCAGACGTGATCAGCTTCAGTGCTGGTATCAGCGCATGTGAGAAAGGTGGTGAATGGCAGGTGGCCCTGCTGATGCTTTCTGAGATGCCGACCCACAGATACACACCCAATGTGTTTAGCTTCAGTGCTGGCATCAGTGCATGCACGAAAGGTGCTCAATGGCGGATGGCCCTACAACTGCTTTCTCAGATGCCGGCAGCCAGAGTTCTGCCAAATTCGGTCGCCGTCAGTGCCGCCATAAGCGCCTGTGATAGTCCTGGTGAATGGCAGATGGCCCTGCGCTTGTTGTCGATAACGTCACAACCCAGTGCCGTACCAAATGTGATCAGCTTCAATGCTGGCATCAGCGCATGCCAGAGAGCTGCTGGGACCGGGAGTAGGCCCTTTTTTCCTCTTTTTAGGGTTGGGCTCCCTTATAATCCCCTTAAAACCAAAAGGGTACCCTTTTTATTCCTAGGTTACTCCCGGGTCTAGGCTGGTGAATGGCAAGTTGCCCTGCGTTTGCTGGCGCAAATGCAGATGATCGGCAGACCCCTGCCAGATGTGATCAGCTTCAACTCCAGTATCTTACTTCGCCTTTAGTCGAACTTTAAGCTTTTTGGGTTTCCTTATTTAGTAGGAACATTCAAGTTGAACCTTTTTTCCCGTTGGCTATTGGAGAAGCAAGGTATCAGCGCCTGTGGGAAAAGCAAAGACTGGCAAGTGCCGTTGCAGCTGTTCTCGCAGATGCCGGCAGCCAGAGTAGTGCCCGACGTGTTCAGCATCAGTGCCGGCATCAGCACGTGTCAGACAGATGGCGAGTGGCAAGTGGCCCTGCTTGTTCTTGCACAGAGCATGCTCAGCTTCAGCGCAGGCATCAGTGACCGTGAAATTAGCCGCGGCAAGTGGCAGGTGCCCTTGCAGCTGATATCGCAGCTACCAAACTCTACAATTGTGCCAGATGCGATCTACTTCAACGCTGGCATCATGGCGTGCTTGAAAGGTGGCGAGTGGCAGACGGCCCTGCATTTGTTAGGGCAGATGCCTCTATACAGAGTCGCGCAAGACGTGCTCAGCTTCAATTTTGCAATCTGCGCATGTAAGGCGGCTGGTGAATGGCAGATGGCCATGGGCCTTTTGTCGCGTATGTGGACGGCCAGACTTGTGCCAAACGTGTTCAGTTTCAATGCCTGCACTAGTGCTTGTGACAAGGCGGGTGAATGGCAGATGTCCCTCCACTTGTTTTCACAGATGACAGCAGCTAGAGTTGTGCCCGACCAGGCGAGCTACACCATTGGCATAGGAGCATTTCTTACAGCTGGCCTTTGACGGCTGTTCCTAGCCGCTTCACTTTGTCATCTACAAACGACATCCTGCAGTATGAAGTCGCGCAAGGCGGGCGGTCTGTCCTGGAGGCTGTGGAGATCAGCAACCCAGAAGCGCTCCTGGATAGGCCCTTGGGACATTTTACACATCTTCCCTTATTGGGTTTAGGAGGATTCATATCCAGGAATATGTTTTCAGAGGATTTTACAGGCCATCCTATCCCTGAAGCCCAGAGCTCCTAAAACCCTTAACCACTGAAACCCGAAACCCCTAACACCCCAAACTCTCATGTGGATTCCAAAGTACCCCAAAATAGGATTTGAGGTCAGGCTAAACCTCCAAGACCACTCCAGGAATGGTCGAGGAGCACCTATTGGTCCTGAGGCGGATCCCCTCTTGGAGGTTCATGGGTACTTAGAACCCCAAAATACATCTGCACTCATAGGCCCCCCTAAGTCCCCTAAGTAGGTTATGAGTAGACTTCTAACCCCCCCCCCCCCCCCAGTTCTAACTACACTTTTTAAAGCCCCCTAAGTAAGTTATAAGTACGGTAGACCCTAAAACCCCCCCCCCCTAAACCCTAAACCCTAAAAACCCTAAACCCTAAACCCTAAACCCTAAACCCTAAACCCTAAACCCTAAACCCTGAAACCCAAAGACTTATAATTGGGGCTCGAAGTGCCCATGAACCTCCGGAGCTGTCTGCGAGATCCGACCTGGGCAAGGCGCGATGGGTTTAGGATTTAGGGCCTCTAGGGTTTAGGGTTCAGGGTTTAGGGTCTAGGGTTTAGGGTTTAGGGTTTGGTGCTTCATGGTTTAGAGCTCGACTTTGGAGGTTCATGGCTGCTTACAAGTCGCGTTCCAAGTATCCTAAATAAGGTTCTTCCCAAAACTCATAACCCTACCTGTAACAACCTGCCCTTTTTCAAGGGGAGATATAAGGAAGTCAAAAGAAGGGACCCCTACAAAGGTGGGGTTTCTGGGCTACCGGTACTTAGAAGTACCCCTGAACCTCCGGGTAGTGGTTTGGAGCTCCTTGGCTTGAGGGTTAAGGGGTTTAGGGTTTAGGGTTTAGGGTTTAGGGTTTAGGGTTTAGGGTTTAGGGTTTAGGGTTTAGGGTTAGGAGTTTTGGGTTTAGGGTTTAGGGTTTAGGGTTTAGGGTTAGGAGTTTTGGGTTTAGGGTTTAGGGTTTAGGGTTTGGAAAGCTCCTCCTAGGAGCCCAAGACCAAAGCCCTACTGAAAGGCCTCAACCGCGGACTCCTGAACCCTAGCTTGAAATTTTCGAAACCCCAGACCGTCACTCTAATCCCTAAAGACGCAAGGCTTGGTCCAAGCCCACAATTCTACTGTTTGCTTAAGAACACCACCAAAAAGTTTAATAATCCCCATCTTGCCCTTATAGGGATTTTTTGTGGGGAGGGGGTGGGGGGGGGGGGGGTTCTTAAACAAAATAGAAATAAGACCCCTAAGCCTTCACACCCCATTTGAGGGTCTAAGGTTTATTTGGTTTGTGGCTTTTTTGGGGCGATTTCGGAAATGTGCGCTTTCATGGGTTTCATAAGGCGCTTAGAGGGTCTATGGAGGTTTAAGGTCTTAAGGTCTAGCGTCTAGGCTTTCGGGTCATGGCTTGTCAGGGTTCCTAACATGAAACAAAGGGTTTATAAGGTCAGGGTTTAGGGTAGTATAAGCCCCAAAGCCTTAGCCCCTAAACCCGAAATGCCAAAACCGAAGGCGCCGATGCAGGTAACGGGGACATCTGCATGGTCGGCTGAGTGACGGCCGTGTGTGCTCATCCTCCTAGAGACTCCATCAACCCATTAATTGAGGAAAAAGCCTTAAAGCATAAGAGGAACCCTAATATGATTTGAGGTATCTTCCTTAATTAACTAATATACCGTAAAGACTTAAAGCATAAGAGGAACCCTAATATGATTTGAGGTATCTTCCTTAATTAATGAATATACCTTAAAGACTTAAAGCATAAGAGGAACCCTAATATGATTTAAGGTATATTCCATAATTAATTAGGGGGTTTTGGAGTCTCTGGGCTGAAAAAAGGCCAAAGGAGGAAAAAAGCAGCCGTAGGGTTGAGGGTTTAAGGGGTTCGGGATGTCCCTCAAGGGTTTAGGCTTTAGGCTTTAGGCTTTAGGCTTTAGGCTTTAGGCTTTAGGCTTTAGGCTTTAGGCTTTAGGCTTTAGGCTTTAGGGTTCAGCCCAAGGACGTTTCTTCAGAGGTTTTGGGGGTTTCGGCCGTTTAGGTTAACTGAGCGGAAGGAACTCCGAATCTGCTCGACTCCAAATCTAAACCCTAAACTCCTACGATTTAGTGTTTAGGGTTCAGGGTTTGTCAGGATTTAGGGCTCTACAGGCTCCAATTTTCCCCGCCCCCTCCCCAACCCTAGAATTGAAACCCTAAACCGTAGACCCTAAACCCTAAACCCTATATAAACCCTAAACACTAATCCCTAATCCCTAAACCCTAAACCCTAAACCCTAAACCCTAAACCCCAACAGCAAAGGCAGTCCTTTCGTGCTCGCTTCCACGAGCTGAACTCCACCGAAGCGAAGCTGGAGTTTCTCAGGAAGACGGGGTTTAGGGTTTAGGGTTTAGGGTTTAGGGTTTAGGGTTTAGGGTTTAGGGTTTAGGGTTTACGGTTTGGGGTCTGGGGTCTAGGGTTTAGGGTATAGGGTTTACAGGGTATGATAGCTGGGGTATAAGGTCTGTGGGGTTTGGGGCCCGGGGGGTGGGTGAGAGCTTCACGTTGGGGTTTGCAGATGTGTTGTGTGTGTGTGTGTCTCTAAGTGGCTGGCTTGTGGGTTTAGGGTGTTCAGAATGTGAGGGTAGAGGATCCAGGATGAGGGCCTGTAGGGGTTTAGTTTAGGGTACAGGGCTTTGGTGTTTAGGGCTTACATGAAGAACCCAAAGCTTACATTTGTGGGGGGGGTTAGTGGTAGAAAGCCCCCTTATAGCATTGCGAGGTGACCTGCAAAAAGGTAGGTTTCGGGTTCTTGAACTAGGGTTTAGTGTTTAGGTTTTAAGGCTTAGGGGGTTTTGAGTTCAGAAGCTTCAGAGATGGGGCCACACAGGCACTAAGAAGGGCTGCGCTGGAGAAGTTTGTGGGGGGGGTAGGGGGGGAGGGTTCAGAGTTTAGGGTTTAGGGCTTAGGGTTTAGGGTTTAGGGCTTAGGGTTTAGGGTTTAGGGTTTAGGGTATAGGGTTTAGGGTTTAGGGTTTAGGGCTGCAGAACCCCAAAAACCCGAAGACCCAAAAGCCTAATCCCTCCCAGGGCTCTCGGAAGGGATCCTTGGGCTAAGAGTCCATGAGCTAAAAGCCCTAAACCCTAAACCCCAAACCCTAAACCCTAAACCCCAAACCCTAAACCCTAGTCCCTAAACCCTAAACCCTAACCCTAAACCCTAAACCCTAAACCCTAAACCCTAAACCCTAAACCCAGGACTCTCGTGGTTCTTTCTGGGACAGTATTTTGAGATGGGGGAGGGGGGGGGGGGGGGGTTGTCGTTGAGGTTTTTTGCTGTACACATGTATATAGGGCTCCTCAGGAGATAGCTGGAGTCTTTTTAGGGTGTACTTTTTTCTTAAGAACCCCACCTCATGTCAGGCGGTGTAGAAGAAGCGTCTTCTTGGTGCTAGTTTACATTTATTGTAGATCCCGCGGTTTGATGCTTAGGGTTTAGGGTTTTTTGTGGCATGTTTAGTAGTACGACCATAGAGATTTAGGGTCAAAGTGTCTGGGCCGAGAGGACTACCCATCGTGTCGCTGGAACAGCCCCGTGGCTTTCGAACGAGAATTCTCCAACGTACTGGAAAAGCAAGATCATCAGAGGCGACACATGCATCACCCTAATCCCTAAACCCTCGATCCTAACATGTTCCCTGGACAAGGGAGATCACATCCTAAGCGACGAATAGCTGGAGGTTGGGGGTTTGGGGCTTGGCCCTAAACCCTAAACCCTAAACCCAAAAACCCTAACCCTAAGCCCTAAACCCTAAACCCTAAATCCTAGCTTGGACAGAAGGAGCACCCGTTTTCGTGGGACCAGCGTTTCGCATTCGCAATGCGCCGTTGGCCTTGGAGTAGCCACAGTCCCTAAACACGAAGCAGCTGAGAGGTTGGGGCTTGGGGCCTAGGGTTTAGGGCTTAGGGTTTAGGGTTTAGCGTTTAGGGTCTAGGGGTTAGGGCTTAGGGCTTAGGGTTCAGGGTCAGGTTTCAATCTAAACTCGCAAATCTGAACCCCATGCTGCTGCCCCAAGCCACCCCAAGAGAGAGGTTCCAAAAGAGGCAGGAAGTAGCTTGCCTTTAAGTGTCGGCTTGAGAGGTGGTGCACCTACAGTACTTTGCCTGAACCAGAAACCCTAATAAACCCTAAACCCCATAAGCTCTGCTCAGCTGAGGACATCTTTGACCACCTGGATGGCATGATGACTTTCTACAACTGGGTGATCCACGACACCTGGGCCCTGTTAGTATTTGGTTGAGGGTTCGGGGTTTCGGGTTTAAGGGTTTAGCGGTTCAGGGTTTAGGGTTTAGGGGCTACTTGGATGTTCATGGGTACATGCAGTAGAGTTAAAGTAAGGCTGTAACCACCCTTGCCTTACCCACAGCCCTACTTCTGACCTCCCATGACCCTAAACCCTAAATCCCAAACCCTAAACCCTAAACCCTAAACCCTAAACCCTAAGCCCTAAACCCTAAACCCTAAACCCTAAACCCTAAACCCTAAACCCTAAACCCTACACTCCAAGCAAGGCGGCTTTCGGATCTCAGCATGATATGACGGGGGATGAATGTGATGATGGTGGGGTGGTTGCTGCTTAATCCCCTCCCGCTAATATTAAACCTCCCCCTACCCCTAATATTCGGGTTTAAGGTTTAGGGTTTAGGGTTTAGGCCCCCCCCCCCCCCTATACTACAAAATAACTATAGTGGAGGTATTTAATATTAGGGGGGGTAGGGGGAGGTTTACTTTGTTTGGGGGAGGGGAT